GCCGGACACAGTGACAAGAAGGCAGACAAAACCGAGACAAAGGGAGACAAAAGGAGACAGAAGGGGGACAAGGCGGACACAGTGACCAACAAGAAGGGAGACAAGAAGGGAGACACGAGGAGAGGCGGACACAGCAGTCCAGAGCTGGGAGACAAATGTAAAGGATTGCAAGCGAGAACAAGAAGGGAAACAAGAAGGGGGGACGGCCAACAAGAATGGATATCAAGTCACATGGGAGACAAATGAATTGAAATGCTGCATGGCCAGCGGAAAGGGCGGACCCCAGCAGTGCAGGCACAGAACCTGGGAGACATACATACAGAAATCAGGGTGACAAAAGTAAAGAAATCAACTGGGAGACAACTGACAAATGACTTGAAATGCTGCATGGCCAGCGGAAAAGGGAGGACACCAGCAGCGCAGGCACCGAACATGGGAGACAATAGTAAAGAATGCACATGGGAGACAATGAATAGAAATGCTGCATGGCCAGTGGAAAAGGGCGGACACCAGCAGTGACAGACCTGGGAGACAAGTGAATAGAAATGCTGCATGGCCAGCGGAAAAGGGCGGACACCAGCAGTGACAGACCTGAGAGACACATGAATAGAAATGCTGATGGCCAGCGGAAAAGGGCGGACACCAGCAGTGACAGACCTGGGAGACACATGACTAGAAATGCTGTGATGGCCAGTGGAAAAGGGCGGACGCCAGCAGTGACAGACCTGGCAGACAAATGAATAGAATTGCCGCGTGGCCAGCGGAAAAGGGCGGACACCAGCAGCGACAGACCTGGCAGACAAATGAATAGAAATGCCGCATGGCCAGCGGAAAAGGGCGGACACCAGCACCTGGGAGACAAATGAACAGAAACGCTACATGGCCAGCGGAAAAGGGCGGAGGCCACCAGTGACACAAAGGGCGGACACATCTTAAGAAAGACTTGAGAACCCCTAACAGTAAACTGTTTGGGGAAATACTACCCTCTAAACACACGCCAAACACCTTCTTAGAAGGTACTTGGAGCCCTACAGTACAAGAATCTCAAAGAGCTTCCATGCCCCTGGACGCCAATGAAACACACAAACGTCCGGTCCCCCACACCCTTCTCGGCTGTCGAAACTGGGCTCCTCTCCCGGAATCGCAGCTTTGAAGAAATATATTCCCGGAAGGATTTCCACACCACCGGCTGTGCAGTAAAAAGGCACAGGGCAGCAGGCAAGCCACATGGAAGAGCGACATGCCTGGAAACAACGCTGGCCGCTGGCTGGTGGTGGAAAAGAAGTGGGTGAAAATAATCCGAAGTAAAGGTTGAATATCCACATCTCCCAAACCTCCACCCTGTTCGGGTCCACTTCGCCATCGACTTCCTCTTTCCCTATAGCTAATGAGCTTTTCATGGCTCGGGAGCTGAGACGGGGAGCTGGACCAGCTGGGCCTGCCAGTGACCAGCTCCCCAGTGACCTTCCCCTTCAGATCCCAGTGGCGAACAGGTCACGAACAGCTCTGTAACAGGTCACGGAAACCAATCCTGAAAATGTCACGGGGAAAGTCCTGGTGGATGTTGATCATGTTTCTTGTGTCCCTCTTCAGTCTACGAAATGCTCAGCAGTGAGCAAACCAGCCCCTGTCTCACCTTGGAAGCAATCTCCGGATGCAGCTCTATCCCACTGAATTTGCACGGCTCATTGAGTTGTACACACATTGCCAAGCAAATCAAGTTTTGGTGAACTAGCCACCTCAGAAACCACTCAAATCCACTTGTGACTTGTTCCCAGCACCCTGTCAGTTCGGCTTCACGTCCTGTCAGTTTGCTCCACCTTGCCATCCCGCGAAGTCGTAGATGATGCCGCCAATGGTCACTGCGGTGGCCACGGCAATGGTGAAGACGGCCAGCACCGTGGAGGACGCTTGCCGCGCCATGGTCTCTGACAGCCCAAAGACGTCGAAGGCAATGCCTGCAGATGGGGAGGCGGGAGACAAGCTCGGCGTCGCGAAGGCTCTCTATGAGAGCTGGGGCGATGCATTTTTTACATGTTAAAGATGCATTGCTTCTACTAGCTTCTTGTTACTAGTAGTAAGGCCCTGGCTCCTAGTAGCGATGCCCTTTGCTACTAGTAGCGTCCTTGCTCCTACCCCCCCCCCCGGGGGATGGGAGGAGGTCCTCGGAAAAAAACGAACACACTTTGGGGGGTTGTGGACTGGTCGGACTCAAGCGGGATCAGTTCTTCATTCGCTTGCATGGTCTTGGTGTCTTGATTTTCACTAGGACCCTGCATGTCGAGTGCGATCCCGTGCGAAGACAAAATTGAAAGTTACACAGATAAGGGTGCTCAAAGACGATGTGGGTTCATCAAATGTCAAACAATACAAAATTGTATTGTCTCTTACCTCTCAAGCGCAAACTCCTATTGTCTAAATATATCTAAATATCATATGACATGATCTGTTGGGGGATCTTCATTCTGGGGTCATGTTTAGAGGACCTAGAGCCTCCCATCCATCACCACCCAAGTCTATCTGGGTTCAACTCCTCCCTGGCTCCTTTGTGCTTCTTTCCTGTTTGTGCTTTTCTTGCCTCCCTGTGGCTTGGCAGGACCGGATGACTCCAATAATCTGCCAAGGTTAGGGCCTTCCAAGCTCTAATGCTCAAAGGTCCTTTGGCGCTGCATTTGGGAGTGAAGTCTGTAGCGCCAAAGAATTCTTTACGTTCCTTAGCTTCATGTGACAGGAAAGCCCCTCAACAGGAGGTTTCCTTCAGAAAGATCGCGGGCTTCAGATTCGGTGATCTACGACCAGGAAGGACCCTTGTGACCTCCCCGTCTGAGAACCCCGAGCTCCACCCGTGGCTTCCCAGGTCGGGCCATGTGCCACCGGTTCGGGAGCTTGGGAGCGCTTTCTGTGTCCAAGCTGCCTTCAATGGTGATGGAGGGGTCCAAACCTTGCAATGCTGTGACCTCCAAGATCACTGCCCACTCCTCAAAGGATGCGAAAGACCAACAAGAAAGAACACAAAAAGTGAACAGATCCCGAATGCCGGCGGTTTTGTGAGAAACAGGATTTGCATTCTGAGTGCTTGGAGTGGGCATTGCGGCCTTGGCTGGTTTGGATGGTCTTAATTCCAAGAATTGTCTGTTTTGTATGCCAGCTTCTTCAAAGTGACCTTTTGAAGGTTCCTAAGTGACCCTTACAAGGCTTAAGTGACCTCAAACCAGGTTATCTAAAGGTCACTTTGAAGAACCAGGTGGTTGAGATATATTGAGATGGGTCTTTGGCCCTTCTTTTGTGGCACACTTGAGTCTGAGTCCAAAAAGTGACTTCAGGGCTGGCACACCTGGCAATCTTACAACATCCCGGTAAAAGACACTGCAAATGAACAGCTATTCCAAAAGCCCTTAAATCGTCATCCTTCAAGCACTCTCTATCTGCAGCAGGTGAAAGCTCGCAACCTGTCCAACCTCCTCTCCTGGGTGGTAAGGGCGGCACCCAAAATGGCAAGACCCAAGTGCAAAGCTCCCAAGGGCACAGCTGCCCAGAAGCCTGATGCCAACACGACCCAACACGCATGTTCTGCGAAAAAAAAATGGGAACTCACCTTCTCCAAAACGAAACAAAAAAACATGAAGAAAACAAACGTCTGGGCATACCCAATCGCCTTGGATTTTTTGGGGGGCCAACCCCGTCTCTCGAAAGACATGAAAAATCAAGACCGTGCCATGACTCACTGTGTGGCTCTTTTCCCACGCTGATCACGAACACAGCGTTCAAACCACCCGGTGGTTGGGGAGCGAAGGCTGAAGGATGTTCAGTCTGTCGGACTTGGTCGTATTGAAAGACAGTGACAAGAGTAGAACTCGTTGGTCAAAGTATGAAGCTGCTACATGCTGCTGGTGAACTTGTTGGTGAACAAACGGAAGTACCAGCTACATGCTAGCAGCTTTGATTCATGACTATATAATGACATCTAATGACTATCCAGACAAGAATATCCGGGCATCGAGGGAACTGTTGCCATCAGCCACCCGACTCTGAACATCTGGCTATGACAGGAGTTGGGAGTTCACCCTCCAAACAGCGCTACAAACACTCCAAACAGACTCGTTGAAGAGAAAAGACCAGGAGCAGGACCTCATGACAGCCCTGCGCCCGCCCTGCCAGCCCCAGCCCGGCTTGGCCTGCCTGCCCGGATTTGAATTTGTTGGAAGAAGGGCCGCAAGAGCAAGCCAATGGTCGAGGCCAAGCCGGCTCTGGCTACCGCCCAACCCATGTCCACGTAATGCAGAGCTAGACCAGACCAGAAGAAGCCATTGATGAAGCCAATCAAGGTGGGCAACAAGATGCAAACGACCACGTAATTGCATGACCATTGAAGATCCTCGTCGTCAAAATCATCCTCATCGAACTCATCCTGCAAGTCCTCTGCCATCTGGCAACCAAAAGACTGAGAAAGTGTGGATGGAACCAACCCCCCTGAGGTTCCTTTTCAAGGAACCTAAGGTTGGCAGTCTTGGCCAAATGCCTGCGGGCCGAATCGGTGCTGAGTTCTCTTCTTCCTGTGATCAAATCAACAACTCCAAGAGTCCTCTAAGCAGTGGTCAGATTCCATGAAAGGTGGAAGTGGATGACCATCCCTTTTAACCCACAACCTCTTGGCTTCAAATATATCGCATTGCACGACTCTGGGACGACTCTTAACCACAGCTCCCTGCTGAATCTTACAGCTCAGCATGAGAATCTTACAGCCACAATCTTCAACCATCTTCAACCGGCTTAAGTAGAACAGCTAGCAGAGTAGGGACTGTTCATGGCCGAGAGATTTCAAGGCTTATGCATGTGTCCATGCTCTTAAATGCTCTGGGAATTCTTATAACCATCGGCACCTCACGCATCTTCAGCTCCAAGGCCGACCCGCCCCGCCCCGCCCCACCCGTGTGGGGCACCGCACGTGGGCGAACCGCACGGGACACGCGGCCGAACATGGCGGACGGATTCCGGGCCAACCTGCGGCGACGGACGGGTGAGGCGGAGGGAGGGGACGGGGAGAGGTGTTCGGCTTCCGGTCTGACGAGAGTGAGGCTTCTGTCCAGGCACAAAGAGTTGAAGCTGAAAGAAACCAGTTTGGCAAAGAGAAAGTGGCGGATTGACATTTCACTGGGTGTTTTTGGGACTGTTCATGGCCTGGAGATTCAAAGGTGTGCAGTATGCCAAACAAAGGGCTAGTAATTAGGCAGGTAGGGGAGAACATTGACATTGGGGTTAGGTCACGGTCTATATAATCTGTTGTGTGTGTGTGTGTGAATACACGTCTGTCTGTCTATATGTCTGCCTGCCTGCCTACGTGTGACTGTATGCACGCAGGTATCCATGTATTTGTCTGCCCGAAGTTCTAGTTTTATATCAATCAATGTGCGGAAAGAACCACCTGCATCACTTCACAAAAAGGAAGTTGTTCAACTTCCGCGCCGCCTAAAAAACCTGACACCCGCCCTGTCAGCGGGAGGTATGACCAAAGGTGCAGCCCGAGCTGGGGCTGAGAGGCCAGGGCCTGCTTGCTCAATGTTGTTTGGACGCAGCTGTATGTACGCATAGTATGGCATAATTATGCTGTGTTTTGCACATTATTTCTCGCTTGATTCCACCATGCGTGTACAGATAACTACAGTAGTTATGGGGGGGGCAGAGATGACTTGCAAGAAGCTCTTTGCAACTGTCCTAGGAAGCTTCTAGCTGATCACTTCCGTGTTTGGATGTGGATGTTGTTGTTGTTGTTGTTGTTTGGATGTTCCTGATTTCCTGATGAAGAAACAAATATATACCTGGTTCTTCTCAAGGTTCACCGGTTCACCGGTTCAGTCGATGCCAAGGTCGATGCCTCTCACCTCTTTCAGGGTAGAGTGCGACTCTACGTGAAGGTCACTTAATGATAGGCCACAGGTACATGTAGAATCTTGATGAATAAACCCCTGACCAGGACATCCTCTTCCCATTGAGGGGGGTTATTAATCAAGAGATATCAAGAGTCTACATTGCATGTTCTTTCTCGGTCAAAATGATCCGGTCTGTTTCAGCTTTGTTGTTTCTTCACGGGCAGCGGGAGGGAGCGGGAGCGCTCGCCACTGGTGTATCGCAACAGGTTCCTGATGTGTCCCTTCAACACCTGATGATCTAACGAGGGTTTCCAGCTCCCAAACCCGTTGAAGAGGGGGAAAGTGAGGAATGAGACTTATTTCGGCGTCATGAGCAGCTCCCAGGTGCGGTAGCTCGGACTCCGCGCAGTGTGCGAGTTTTGCGCCGAGTGCTAACGGGGGGGCGAGGACCCACCAGCTGTCGAGCCAATTTGGCGCGCGGCAAGCATGACGCATCAGCAGCTGAGTTGCCACCTACCTTGTTCATACAAAATGGATTGAGCTGTGAATAGTTGAGTCACGACCTGAGTTGTGACTATTCACAGCTGAGTTGCCAGCTACCCTGGCTTTGGGATTGGCAAGACCCAGTTGAGGTCATCGGGTAATGCTGGGTCGTCTTGGGGCAGATGATGAACCGCCGTGTTTCAGTCCCTAGGTCACAAAAGTAGACGTTTCACCAGAGGGACGTTTTTGGTTCTACCAGTGGAGTGAGATGGATTTGATTCGTTTTGTCAGACGCAGGGGACTAATTGATGTTGGCACCAACCCAGCACGAAACAAGGTCAGCCTAGGTCAGCTATGCTGACGGATGTTGGCGTGATCGAAATGTCATCCCCATCTAGATTTCAGTGTCCCGGTGTAAACAATCAATTAATTGTTAGACTCTTGGTGATTCTTTGAGATGTCACTGCTGTCACTCAAAAGGCTTTCAACCGATCTGGATAAGTTATCTGGGAGTCCTTTGAGAAACAAAGGGCATTTTGAGCGTGATTGTAGTTTCAGCTTATCATGCATGATCCGTCTTGACAAACACTATTGTGCGGGAAACAAGTATCATCCATGATAAGCCGTACGCATCACCGAAACCCAAGAAAACTTTACTGGACACCCTGCAGTGATGCAAACGAAAAGAGTCAATGCTATCATGGCTTAGGCTCAAAGAAAAGCAAACAAAAAAACACTACTGTATATGAGGCGTTGTGCAGCCACTGCAACAAGTGCAACAGTTCCTTAACAATGAAATCCTCAATAGTGCTATATTGCATCGTTTAATCAAATAACACTTCCAATCTCAGCAATGGGTTCCAAAGAATGGGTTGGCTACGTGCTAAAGCATTGCGATAAGGCGGGCAAACACTGTGTGGAACCAGTGGAACCACATCCCGTCCCCAAGATCCACCCCCCAGACATGTTGATCCGTTGAAGGGGCATGAGCACCTGACCCATAGAAATCAGTGATGAGTCAGTCCTAATCCCTCTAGCACAAAAACAGATCCGGAACTGACCGACCTCATGCTGATTAGTACTGGAGTGAGTCATACCAAAACACCGAGCTCCGTCTCTGGAGGTGTCTGGACCAGATTGGACCAGATTGGACCAGGTCGGACTCGGTGGCCCCCGTCCTCTCCATCTTTTCTTCGACGCGGAGGCAGGCGGACCCGGACCGTCAGCAGTCGACCTGCGGCGCTGGCGGTCTGGCGGTCTGGGAGAGTGGCTGCGGTCTGAAAGGGACCTGGAACTCCATTGGTCCATGGGGGGGGTGCTCAGCGAGAAAGAAGGCCGGATTGTTTCAACCATCAGGATGCCTGAATAGTTCACATCGGTTCATATGCAGGGTTAGCATGGGTTAGCTGCATCCAGCTCGGCATATGCCGGGGAATAAGAGAGAAACTCACCAGAAATGGCAGTGGGTCAAAACGAACTCGGAGCGAGTGACTCACCCTGGTAGGTTGACCTAGTAATCCATGACTGTTCCAACTCCATGACTTCCAGTTCCGCCCTCCGGACTCCAACGATGGCGACCCATCCTTCCTTTTTCGTGGTCGGGATGTGGGGGGTTCTCATCTGTGTCATCTGGGCAGGTCTCCCACCCTAAGCGACCCCAGGCCTCCCTTCCAGCATCTGGAAGTCTCATCTGCTGGGTGCATCGAGGTCTTTTGTTTCCAGCATCACAGCCAACCATGTCTGGATGACTCTATCCACCTTTGAGCTCATGGGGCTCTTGGTGGGTCGACCCCAACCCGGACACAGCGACCCAGTGAAGCCACGTTTGATTTGGTGCCTGTAGTCTTCCTGCCTACTCCGTGGGACAGGCCCTGACAGGGCTGACAGGTCGACAACACATGAACGAAGGTGTCAGATTTGGTTGCAAATCTGAGAGGTCTTCTCGAAGGGTGTGGGTGTCGATCAGAGGATGCCAAGCAATTGGAGGTCCATCCCAGCCGACACACCCCGTGTACATTAAAGATTTCATGCGGGCTCCCAAAAAAGAGGCGCAATTCGCGTCCTTCTCCAGTCAGTAGTTGCTGTCTTCAGGCGACCTAGGTGTCCGTCTATACCGTCTGTTGGAACCTGAGTGACACCTATTTTCGAGCTAAAACATGGTCTTTCGATCAAAACAGGGGCCGAATAGGTTCTATTCCACCCGATGGAGATCATCTGCATGCAACTACGTGGAGGCCACCCAGGCGTTCAAAGCCGCTCACTTTCCAGACGCAAAGCCTGGGCAGAAATCATGCGGGTCTGTTGCCTTGTTTCTTGAAAAGGACTCCACCTCAGCCAACCAAACCTGGCAACCACAAGTTTGGAAAATGATCTCCTTGGCCACATGAGTGCTTGTGTTACTTTGAGGTCACCTCAGCAAAACATGGAACTTGAATTGCCCTTGCAAAGCAAAGTGGTTTTACGTATATATCCTCCTTTGTTATGTACCCATGAGAGGACTTTGAAAGTAAACACTGTGAGACTCTTCCTGGGTTTGATGTTGTGACTCAGCCGCCTTCCTGCTTTCTGGGGGCATGGTCAAAAGGGGGGCTCATCGCAAGCCTGCCAATGCTAGGTCTTTGCGATCTACAGATTTCAAACACCATCAAACACCCCTTCTTTTGAGCCACAGCCGCCAATGTGCTGTTGCCAGGCAAAATGCGGGGATTTTGATGATTTTGGGAGATGTCAGCATCAAAGACACGAATCTGCGGAACCTCATCTTTTGTGCACACGAATCTGTCATCCCTTGAGATGGACATGCAGCTGGACATGCCTTGAAGTGTTCGGCTCAGCTCTCATGGAGCTCCGCAACAACGGGACCAACGTCCTGGGACCGGGCAAGTGGCCTTGGAAAGGCCTTGGAAAGGGGACTACGACTACAGGAGGCCCCTGGTGAGATGCCGATGTTTGACCTCCGAAAATGAATCCAATGCTTTCAGCTGGGTCCAGGTGATACATTCTTTGGCATTTTTGTCACGACCCTCCTAAACCGCTTTCGTCGCAATGCGCTGCGACGGCTGGACACGAGCCGCGTGCTGAAAACCAGGTGCTTGCCAGGTGCCCTGTATTCTATATATCAAAAACATGTTAGGACATTTTCTTAAGTCTTATCATCCAATACACTGATATCGAATCGTCGAATATCTCGCGAAAAAGAATAAAAGTATTCCATGTATCTTCCCAGCCGGCACCGTTGGTGTGGCGT